TATAAATAAATAAATAAATAAATAAATAAATAAATAAATAAATAAATAAATAAATAAATAAAAAGATGACATCTGGGTTTCTAGTTTGCACAACTGAAGGGATGCTGGATTCTTCTCCCAGCATATAACCCAAACGGCCCCTCCTAAGCCAGTCTACGAAGCCGTGCATGACGGTGCACCGCGCGCCCACCCCAGCAGCCTCGCCACGTCTGAGCCCCACACGCAATGCCCTTCTTGTCAGTTCCTTCCTACCACAGACCCTTCTCACATGAGCTTGTCCCGTTTCCCTCCCTAGCCAACCCTTACCCGCCCGGAGAAAGTGGGGGCGAGGAGGGGCGGGTGTGTCTCAGCTTCATCTCCAGTGCAAGAAGACCTCTGCAATCCTCAGGTCAGGTCTGGCGTCCCTACGGCGCGATTCTCAGTGTTTCAAGACATCGCGCTCACCGCCATCGGAATCGTGAGCGGAGCGCCCGGGGATGAGCCTCGGTAACAGCTCAGCCAGTAGTTGTCGCCTACGTCCATCCACTCAGTCGAAACAATCCCCACAGCGGACACGCGAGGTGGGGGAGGGGAGGGGGGACCGTCCACCCAGGGAGCGGCGGGGCCTGGACTCGAACCCACTCCTGCGTGACTACCAAGAGCCTGGCGGCCGAGCAACTAGCACCTCCCCCCCCGCCCTGGGTTTCCGCCGGCGCGATGAATGGGGTCCAGACCCACACGGGGTCCGGGGGAAGCCCCTGCTCTCCCCGCCCCACGACCCCGCCCCCCGCCCTCCCCGCACAGCCCAGGGCACACCGGCCGCACTCACCTGGGCCCCGCCCACCGTCCCATGCAGCCGCAGGAGGCACATGAGCCCGGGCAAGTGCGGGGCTGAGCGCACCGGGGGATGCAGGGGCGCCGCGGCGCTCCCCGCGCGCGGCTGCAGCAACCCGGACACGCTCTCCAGCAGCAGCAGGCGGAGACGCGGGCCCGAGCCCACCGCCGACAGACCCCCGGCCCCGCCGGGAACCCCAGCCGCGGAGCCCGCCGAGGACCCACTCAGAACGGCTGCCGCCATCTTCACCCGGGCTCCGGCAGCGGCGTGGCGCGATGACGCAAACGCACGGCGACCGGCGCCTGCTGGGGAGGGGGCGTGAGGAGGGGGCCTCGGCCCTGCGCACTGGGAGGCGGGAGGCGGGGCTCCGGGCGCGGGCGGGAAGGAGCATGCGCTGGCGGGCGGTGCACCACGTGGGACGGACAAAAGGCGCCCTCAGCGGCGGAATCCGTCTCGCGTCCGCGCTTCGGGCGGCGTGTGCGTGAAGACCGGCTGCTCGGCCCGGACAGCCCGGCCTGTGCTCCCCAGCTCTCCCCCGGCGCGGGGCCGTCTCTCCCGCCGGGGCTGTGCACACACCCGCGGGCACGTGGGATGGGGGCGGGCGCTGCTCCGGCCTGTGCACCGCCGCGTCTCCGCGCTCCTCTTGGAAGTTGCAGCCCGCGCGGTGCAAGCACGCTGCACGCCTGCGGCTGCTCCACTGGATCACATAACCTGGACTGACCTCCAGCACCGCGCTCTGCGTACCTCGGTGCACAGGGATGATTTGATCATTTGAGCTGGAGGAAAGTCCAGTCTGAGGGTCACCCCCGTCTATGCCTCTCTGCCTACCCCTCTGTCTAGTCCGTCTTCAAGTCCTAAAGGCGTTAACCCCGTAAGGCTATTTTTTTCTCCATTTCCCATGACCCTGTGGTCCTGGCCAGCATTCTCGCTTCTGGCCCCTTATAATGGCCTCTTCATATGGCTTCCCTCTTGGCCTTGTGTCGTCCCTTCTCTGCAAAGCAACCAAAGTGGTCTTTACAAGTGTAAGTCACTTCTTGTCACTCGCTTAAAGCCTTTCAGTGGCCTCCAAATATGTGAATGAAGTCCCACCTTTTTGCCTTGGCTGTTAGGATCCGGGTGATCTAACAATAGGCAGCTCTCCGACCTGGACATGTTCTCTCAGGTTCCTTGTCTTTCCCTGTCCTTGAGCCAAAATAGCCTTCTTTCTATCCAACAGCAAGCCCATTCCTACCGCAGAACCTTTGCATACGCTGCTACTTCTGCCTGGAGACATTATTCTTTTATTCTCTGTGATTAATACCCTCTTCCCATCCTTTAAGAGGGCTCCTTATGGGCAGCCCGGGTGGCTCAGCGGTTTAGCGCCACCTTCGGCCCGTGTCGGGCTCCCTGCATGGAGCCGGCTTTTCCCTCTGCCTGTGTCTCTGCCTCTCTCTCTTTCATAAATAAATAAAAAATTTTTTAAAAAAAGGGATAATCATAAAACCTTAATGCATAGAGCTGTATTAAGTTAATTTGTATTTGTAAAGTGCCCGGAGCAATGTTTGGCACATGGTAAATACTCTAAAGTGCAAACCCTGGCATTTGATGTCTTAGGAGGCTTTTCCTAACCTCCAGGATTATAAAAATATTTTCCTGTTTTTTTTTCCTTTTTTTTTTGTTTTGTTTTGTTTTTTGTTTTGTTTTGTTTTTCCTGTTTTTTTTTTTTCCTAATGCTTTTATCGTTGTATTCCATGCGTTTAGATCCTTAACCCATCTGGAATTTATTTTAAGGCATAAGATATGGAAACATAACTTTTTTCTCCCAAATGAATAGCCAGCTGTCTCACCCCAATTTAGTGAATATGCCATTCTTCCTTCATTGACTTGAAATGCTATACTGTGAGTCTATATCTGGACTCCCTATTTCACTGCTCTATCTAGTATTATCTCACCAATAACATAATTTTAATTAGTGTAACATAAATTATCAGTTAAGACAAATGCTTACTTTATTCTTATTTATCAGAATTTTTCTGGCTATCCTTGTAAGTTGATTCTTCTGATTGGTTAGAATCAAATTCCTCTCCCCAAAAAAAAGTCCCATTGTTATTTATTTTTAAGGACTAGTCAGGTGCAGTAGTGAGGATGGGGGAAAGAGTAGAAAGGAGTTCGATCTGTAACTGTGAACTATCACTTGAGATAACCTACTACCTTGGACCAGCCTCCCATTGCTACTTTGATATGGTGCTAAAATTATAGACAATTTGCAGAGAAATAACATCTTAATTTGTTTTAAAGATTGTATTTATTTATTAGAGAGAGAGAGAGAATGTGCACACAGGGGAAGCAGCAGGCAGAGGGAGAGGGAGAAGCAGGCTCCCCGTGGACTAGGGAGCCCAATGTAGGACTTGATCCCAGGACTCTGAGATCATGACCTGAGCCGAAGGCAGATGCTTAACCAACTGAGCCCCCAGGCGCCTGAAACGACATCTTTATAATGATGGTTTTTCCCACCTAGTATTTGGTGTACCTCTTTCATTCTTTCTAGCCTTCTTCAACATATTCCTAAAATTGTCTTTATATTAGCTTCTTTTAACACATAGCATTCATGCCACACAGATCACTACCTTTCAGTTCCAAAATCACATTAGATATGTAGCAAGGTGTATCTCATTACCTTCTGGTCATGACCCTTTGACATCGTGATTCATGAGTCTAAAAGAAATGCATGATCAAAAGCTTGAAAGGGATGAAGGGTGAGCTTAAGAGGTGGTGACAGAACTGCCTCTGTTTGAACGTTAAAGATTATCCCAGAGACTGTCATTTTTTGGCAAATGGAACAGTGGGGGGATAAATGTGAAGTTAGTTCATTTGGGTGGGAAAGACGGGGAGGATGGGAAAAGACGTGCAAGAAGGAGAAATACCTTAGCTCCTTAAGTTCAGAAATGTCAGGCACCCATCATCCTCTCCCCATCCCATCCACTCTGCCCTAGAAATGGCTCCTTCGCCTGGCCTCTCTTCTCCTCTTTAGTTTTAGCCTCGACAGCCTCGCCCCACTCTCTCCACCATCCACATTGCCCAGGATTATCCTCCTGAAGGAGAAATCTCACCGTGCCATTCTTTAACTGGATTCACACATCCTGCTCCGCAGAAGACCTTGTCCCTTCACCTGCTATGCGAAATCCTTCACACTGTTCCAGCCCCCCTCTCCACCTCACCTCTCCTGCGGTGGAACCCCACAAACTCTTCGGAAGAGGACGCGACTTGCCTTTCTCTGGCTTTGCAATACCTTTTCTCAACCTCTGGCCACCCTTAGAAATATTGTCCTCAAATGTCTCCTCTTCTGGACTGCGTACCCTCCCTCCGCCCTTGCCCCAGTTAAGCGCTGGTAGTTGCTTTGCCTTCTGGGTTATACCTCCACTTTAGTATTCTTGGGATCATAAGACCTGTTTTATGTGTCTCCCAAAGTGTCCTAGAAAGCAGGGGCCCTGGGAATTCGTGTCTGTGTCCCTATCGCCTAGAACAGTGACTAACACGAAATAGGCATGGATGCATGGATAGATGGACGGATGCATGCATAGACGGGAGCATAGGTGCATGGACGGATGCACGCATGCATGGACGGATGCCGGCTGTGATGAGAGCAGATGGAAGAGATGGATAGTCAGAGAACCCAGGCAAGCAACCCTGCAGATGTGGGACAGACAGCAGAGGGAGCTGACACACCACAGTAAGGAAGCGGACGGACGAGCCGACGGAGGCTGAGAGCCCTGTGGTGAGCGGCGCGCGAGCCGGAGCGAGCACGCAGCTGGGGCTCCTCCCCCACGTGTGCATCCCCGCATCCTCCCCACACCGCGCCGGGGCTCCTTCCTCCGCTTCCACCGCCCGCGTAGCCCCCACCGCCTCCGAAAAAGCAAACAAAGGGGAGGGTACCCCCGAGGCGCCCTGGCCGCAGGGAGCCAATCACCGGGCCCTCGCCTCCCGGCGGGCGGGCACCTCGGTTCCGGGGAGCCCAATCGGTTCCCGCCGGGGGCGCGGAGGGGCGGAGAGATGGGCGGGCAGAGCAGGCCCCGGGGACCGCGCGCGCCGGAGGGACCCCTTGGGAGCGCGGGGCGGGGCCGCGGCGGGGCGGGCACGGGGGCGGAGCCAGTCGGCGCGGCGCGCGCGGTCGGGGCTGACGCTTCTGGCCCCGGTTCCCCCGGATCGGAGGGGGCTCGAGGGGCGGAGGAGGGAGCGAGCGCGGAGGGCGCGCGTGCGCAGTGGCGCGGGGAGGAGCAGGCACCCGGCGGCAGGCGGGGAGGCTGCGAGCAGCCGCGAACCGGGCGGGCGCGCGCACCATGGGGGAGAAACCGGGCACCAGGTAAGGGAGGTGGGGCCCCGCGGCGGGACGTGGGCGGCGGGGCGGGGGCCGGGGCGGTCTTGGGACGAGGACACCGGGGGAGAGGACCGGGGGGCCGGGTCCCCGGGGGGACAGCCATCTGGGGCCGCGCGCGTCGGTCCTCGAGGATAATGAGGGGGACGCATGTGGGGCCCTTGCAGACGGCGAGGGCGGGAGGGGAGCAGGAAAGCGGCATCTGGGTTCCCGCAGGGATGTGGGGGCCGGACGACCGGGTTCTCCGGTGTAGGCTGCGATGCAGGGGCGGAGGGAGGAGCAGGTGGCCGCCCCTAGGGGTCGGGTATGGGAAGGCTGGATGCTGGGAGGGGATCCCCCTAGACTCGTGCCGAGCTGCGGGAGAGCCTCCTGGCCAATACCCCACAGGCGGTCGGGCTGTCCCAAGGGCCAGGTGGCTCTGCTTCCAAACTTCTGCCTTCCCCCAGGTTGCTAGGAGCGACAGCTTCATCTTGGGGGAGCAGAGTGCATGACGACCCCCCACTTCCATTCGGGGCCTTACCCCTCTTCCCGGAGGTGAGGGGAGACAGTATCTGCCATCCACTCCCCGGATGTTTTCTGTGCAATCGAGGCTCCTTCCTTCCACTGATACCCTGAGTTCTCTTTTTTGGTCTCTAGCAAAATCCACTTCCTGTTGTGGGCCAACACCCCCAGGGGGATAGTGGGTGAATGCCTGAGTCCCTGGGGAGCAGGAGCAAAGGAGGAAAAGATTGGGGCACTATGCCTCTATCCAGAAGGGATCAGGAACTGGGCCCTGGTCCCCAGATGCCTCTTTTTCTGCAAAACATTATCCTATCAGCCCCACCGCTCCCCAGAATAGGAGAACCCAGGTTTCTGAGCCTCAAGTCGAGTCATAATAGAAAGAGATGATCAGAGGCAGGACTGCTGGCCTGGATTAGGGCTTATAACACCCCCAAGAAAGGGGAAGTTGCTGAGTTGAGGGAGGCCCCCAATTTCCGTTATGTGGTTCAGGGAGGAGGATGGATGGACCAGAAGGGTACTGCTGACTTGGCATAATTCCTGCCACCCCCATCTAATTCTGGGCCACAGGAAATGGAGAGAACGTCTGCTGCTTCCAGCCCCTTCACTAGGCACCTCTGGGCACCCCCACACTCTGCCTCCTTGGCCAGCTGAGGCTCCTAAGGGCAGGTCACCCTGCAGCTGCTCCGGGGCAGTTACCCCAAAACTATAGTCCAGTGGCTTTCTTCCTAATAGGAGAAACCCTGGGAAAAAAGGAAAACTAGAAGCAAAAGGGAAAGAGAGCTGGATGAAGCCATAGCTGTCCGCCCCCAGCTTGGGACAAGAGGTGGTGCTCATTGTAGCTACCATCATTATCAACGTTTACTCTGCTTCATTAGGTCGCGATACCTGGGGACCCCCATACCCTTTGCCTCATGACCTTTGGACAGCCTGGCCTTCTGGGAAGAAGCAGCAAGTGAAGTTGTTAGAGCAGAACTGGTGGGGGGGGGTGGGGGGAGGGATGGAGGAAGGATGGCCTAGTTGGCAGGACCTCACTGTCTACTATCCGATGACTCTGCCCAGTGATGGCCACTGAGGTATAGCGGATTGGGATGGGGAAGGTCCAACCTGCAGGTGGCCAGAACATAGGGGTCGCCAGACACTTGCCTACCCTCTCAGCAGTGGGTAGAGCCCAAGCTGAGATTGTTTTAGCTCCAGGGCTGGGTGTTGGGGCAGGGAGTGGGGGCAGGGAGCTCTGGCAATTAAACAAGTTTAATGCCGATTGCAGAGACAGGAGAATATGAAGTTTTAGCAATAGAGAGCATGGGCTCAGAGCCACATTGCCTCTGGTCATCTGAGTCCCACCATTTACACCCTCTGGGGTCTTAGGCTCAATCCTTCAGTCCTTCATGCCTTGGTTCCCTCACTTGGAAACTAGGAACATTGGGACCTCCGTCATTGGGTTGCTAAGAATATTAAATGAGATAATACACACGAAGCTCTTGAAACAGTGCTGAGCACGGGGCATTCACCCAACAAATGCCAGCCAATGTCATCATCTCTATCGTCCAGTTGCATGTCAGTGTCAGTGGCAGCCCGCCTCCAGGCAGCGTGCTGGGGGTGCTTAACTGAATAAAGCTTCCAATGAAGCATCGTCTACCTAGTGAGGCAGATGTTCAGATGATCCACAGCTCACAGCCTGTGCATGCTGTCACACCACCAGGAAAACACAAGGCAGTGTAACAGGAACATCCCTTCCTCCCCCAAAAAAGGAGTAACCAGGGTCCGGGCTGGATTTGCTTTCTAAAGGAGTTGATATCTGAGCTCAGCCTTCAAAGACAAGGAGGCTCTGAAGCCGCTGGGATCAGGGATGGGGACAGTTGGAGGTTAATGGAGTAGGGTCACACGTAAGTAGTGCGTACAAGTAGAAACCATTTTAGGGGCAAAAGCAGGGCCATTGCCCTTCTGGGTACTCCAGCCATCTTTGGAGCTGGAGACCGTCTTTGGAGCTGGAGACCGGAGAAGATGGAAGCAGGGCCAGGTCTGAGACAGACACTCCTACAACCTGCCTATTCAGGCCCCCTGGGGGGGGGGTTGCACTCTGAGAAGAGAAGAGCCTGGGTGGTTCCTGCCATTGCCGTAGGAGGAGGGGAGCTAGTAAGGGTGGAACCAAGGGGCAGGGGTGCCCTTGCTGTGTTGGGAATATTGAGGACCTGTGGTGTCCTTCCTCTGGGAAGAAGTGGGAGGGGTAGGGCTGGCAAGGCCCCACAGGCTGCAGACAGAACCCCGGGTGAGCCCTGCCATTCAGGGCAGCACGGGGGTCCCCGGTGTGGGGGTCCCTGCCAAGTCTGAGGGATGCAGTGGGGTTTCCCTTTCTGTTTTGTTAGGGTCTTCAAGAAGTCAAGCCCTAACTGCAAGGTGAGTCTCCCAGGCTGCTTTTCCTCTCTGGGCCCCTGCAAGGCCCAGCCTGCCCCTAGCCAATCCCCAACCCCTGGCTCCCCACTTCCTGTGACAGCTAAGAGCTGACTTCCTTCCCTCCTGAAGCCCCTTGCCACAAAGGCCGCTCAACCTGAGCCAGCCATGGGGCTGGGTGGGGAAGGTCTGTGTCCCTCGCAAGATGCAGGGGGAGGAGCCAGGAGCCCTAGGCTGTACCCCTCTGAGGAGCCAGCTTTCCCAGGGCTGGGAAGGGTCAGCAGCTCCCCAGGCTATGGCCTGCATCTCCCAGAGCCCCTGGAGGGGAGCCAGCAAGGCCATACCCTGCTCTCTAGCTGACCTGCCTGTGGCCTGTCCCACCACTACCCCGCCCCACCACTCATACACACTTCACACTTGCCTGACTTATGGGCAGAGGTGTGAAGAGCTTCAAGGTTGGGGACCCTGGGAAACTCCACTATTCTGCCCTTCTGAGCCCGCTGGGAGGAGACCCCAAGGATACTTCAGCCTGGAAGGACTAGGGGCAGGGCGGGCACCCTGAAGGGCTCTGATGCCCCCCAACCTCCCACCCTATCTTCCCTGTGCCCCTCTTCCCTTAGCTCACTGTGTACTTGGGCAAGCGGGACTTTGTGGATCACCTGGACAAAGTAGATCCTGTGGGTAAGTGTGCCCAGAAAGCGGCAGCAGGTGCCCTGGGAGGGGGAGAGGCTCCTGGGCCCAGGGATGGTGGGGAGGCCCTGGCAGGAAACGAGCTCGTGTGTCCCCCTCCCAGATGGCGTGGTGCTCGTGGACCCAGACTACTTGAAGGATCGCAAAGGTACTGGCCAGGTGGAGGGGGCCTGGGGAGGTGGGGTGGGCTGGCACTGACACGACCCCAGGGACATGGAGGGCCAATCCCACACATGGAGAGCCGACCCCAGGGACACGGAGGGCAGGGACAGAAGGGAAAGTGGGTTTGGGCAGCTTTGATGCTGCTAGGGGCCGGGGGGCTGGGGCTAGGGGTCCTGACCGCCCCCCCCTTGCCCTCCCTCTTAGTGTTTGTGACCCTCACCTGCGCCTTCCGCTATGGCCGCGAGGACCTGGATGTGCTGGGCCTGTCCTTCCGCAAAGACCTGTTCATTGCCACCTACCAGGCCTTCCCCCCCGGGCCCAACCCACCCCAGCCCCCCACTCGCCTGCAGGACCGGCTGCTGAGGAAGCTGGGCCAGCATGCCCACCCATTTTTCTTCACAGTGAGGATGCCCCTCTCTGTGCAGGGCAAGGGGTCTAGGACTGAGCTTGGGGGGTGGGCATCTGTCACAGATGGATCTGGAAGAAACATGAGGACCCCCCTGCCCTGTCACTTCAGGGTCACCCAGCACCCTTGTCTCTGCATCCTCCCTGGGGTCCCCCCCTCCTTCTTCCTCTCTCACCCCCCCCCCACCTCCTTTTCCAGACTTTTAGTTGGGATTGGGAGAAATTTTGGTGGGGGGGGGCTCTTGGGAAGAACTGAAGCCTCCCCTTGCCTCCGCCACAGATACCCCAGAACCTGCCCTGCTCTGTCACCCTGCAGCCAGGCCCAGAGGACACGGGGAAGGTAGGGCAGGGATGGCTCTGAGGGCTCCGGACAGCACAGGACCCAGCGGGAGCTGGGGGTGCCCCGGGAGGGGGCTGTTGGGGAGCAGCCTGGGCAGGACAGGGGATCCTGGACCCTGGGGCTGGGGGTGACCTTGCACAGACAGGAACAGTGCCCTGCCCAATAGACTGGGTGTCGGGGGCAGGGGCAGAGGACGGAGCCCCCAGCCCTGTGTGCCTCACACCAGACAGCAATGGGGCAAGAGCCCCCCACCCCCACCCCCAAGGCCAAGGCGAGGGAAGAGGGAAGGAAGGGTGTGGTGGTGTCAGGAGCCTTGTGTAAGATGTGACCTTTTCTCCCTCCCAGGCCTGTGGAGTAGACTTTGAGATCCGAGCCTTCTGTGCCAAATCTCTAGAAGAGAAAAGCCACAAAAGGTGAGGGGATGTGAGCTCCCCTGTGGTCTGACCCTTCCCTCCCCACTCCCCGGAGCCCCAGGCACCCCCGCCCCTCCATCAGACCAGCAGTGGGGGTCTGGGTATCTAAGGACCGGCCCCTCCCTCCCCTCCTCCCCACCCCCAGGAACTCTGTGCGGCTGGTGATCCGAAAGGTGCAATTTGCCCCGGAGAAACCCGGCCCCCAGCCATCAGCAGAAACCACACGCCACTTCCTCATGTCTGACCGGTCCCTGCATCTAGAGGCTTCCCTGGACAAAGAGGTGGGGTGCAGGAGGGTGGCACAGGTGCCGCAGCGCGCACAGCCCCCTGGCCAAGGCCTGAAGCTGGCTGCCAGGACCCCGGGTGTCTGTGTGTGGGGCAGGTGGGAGGAACGCTGATCATGAGGCTGGTGCCAGCAGACAGCACTAACTGGACCCCTCCCCTCAAAAGCTGTACTACCACGGGGAGCCCCTCAACGTCAACGTCCACGTCACCAACAACTCCACCAAGACCATCAAGAAAATCAAAGTCTCTGGTAAGCAGGGTGATAGAAGGGGAATTGAGGGGGGTTTGGGGGGTGCCCATGTGGCTCCTGGTCATGTTGGCCCCAGGGACACACCCCAGAATAAGATGCAGCCCCGGGGGGTGGGGGGGTCCCAGCGGGGCAGCAGCCTGAGCTTCCTGCACGGCTGCTTCACCACCCCCTCACCCCACAGTGAGACAGTACGCTGACATCTGCCTCTTCAGCACTGCCCAATATAAGTGTCCTGTGGCTCAGATCGAACAAGAGTGAGTAGCAGGACGGCCAGGGCCCCACCTTAGGGCAGGACCATAGGCAGGGGTGGGGGGTGATGGGGTGATGGGGTGAGGATGGAATGAACCCATTCTACCTACAAGGAAGGGCATTCCCTCCATCAGCAGGTGGCTCTGAGCACATCCTACTCCTCATACCTGCAGCCCAAACACAAAAGGGTGGGTGGTAGTGGAGAAGCCACTGGGGGTGGGCATCTGGCCCCTCCCAGACCCCCGTTCTCTTGCCCCCACCCCCCAGTGACCAGGTGTCACCCAGTTCCACGTTCTGCAAGGTATACACCATCACCCCGCTGCTCAGTGACAACCGGGAGAAGCGTGGTCTTGCCCTGGACGGGAAGCTCAAGCATGAAGACACCAACTTGGCCTCCAGCACCATGTGAGACCAGGCTGGGTGGGGGCGGGGGTGTGGGTGGGGTTTGGGGCATTCTCTCCCCCCCCCCGCCCCCGCAGCCTAGGGCGCACATGCCCCTTCAGGGCCGGCTGCATGTCAGGCTGTGTCCTGGGTGTCGGGGCTTGATCAGGAAACAGAGCAGGTGGAGTTTCTAGGCAGGGAAAACAGATAAGGGACGAGTGCTGAGAAGCAGCAGGTTAGAGATGGGAGATAGTAGTGGCAGGGAGCGGGCAGGGTGCAGCCACTATAAATAAAGTGGCTGGGGGAGGCATGAATTCTGAGTGGGGACCCAGAGTAAGTAGGTCACGTGGACACACAAGGAAAGCTCATTGTGGGCAGAGGGATCTGCAAGCACAGAGACTTAGAGGTGGCCCAGGCCCAGCCAAGTGGAGGAGGCATGGTGCCAGTGTGCCTGTGAGCAGGAGTGTCAGGCCTGGGCCCCCCCACCCCCACTGGCGCCATCATGCACAGTGCACACAGCAGAGTGCATACAGGCATACAGCAGGCCCGAGGCCCACGGGGAGGCCCAACCTCCAGGAAGCAGCAGGGGGTGTGGCTGGGGGAGTTGAAAGCAAGAGGGTGCAGGGCCCTGGGGTCACAAGGTTGTCTGCTTTTATGAGACATGAGAAGCCATAAGCTGGTCCTGCGGAGAGGCGCGCTGGGGTGCTCGGCCAGGAGAACAGCATAGCCTGCGCTGCTGGCTGGAGCACTGGGGTTGGGGGTCGGGGGTCAAGGGTCAGCCACCCAGAACCTGGCAGGAGCCCTCAGGGGTGGGCGAGGGCACAGGCAGTGGGCTGCGGTCTAGCTCCTCCCCTGATTGCAGCGTGAAGGAGGGGGCCAACAAGGAGGTGCTGGGTATCCTAGTGTCCTACAGGGTCAAGGTGAAGCTGGTGGTGTCTCGCGGCGGGTGAGTGTGGTGGGGGAACTGTGGGGGGTGTGGTGGCCTGCCCGGGGCGTGGGAGTGTTGGCCCTTCATGCTGTTCCCCCCCTCCAGGGACGTCTCTGTAGAGCTGCCATTTGTCCTCATGCACCCCAAGCCCCACGACCACATCACCCTCCCCAGGCCCCAGACAGGTAAGCACGGCGCCTCCCCACCCCCAGCCAGAGGAGCACCCCCCCAGCTGGGGGAGCACAGCTGGTCCTTCCAGCACCCACCCACCCCTTCCCTCTCCTCACCTCAGCTGCTCCTGACACAGACGCCCCTGTGGACACCAACCTCATTGAATTTGATACCAAGTAAGAGACTCCCCCCCCACACTTTGTGACCTTTGAGCTCTGGACACGGACTCCCCTCAGCCCTCACACCTGCCCTTACCCCCCTCTCCTCCCCCGGGGCACCAGATCCAGACCATTAGCATCCCTCAGGAGGCTGCCTGTCCTGTACCTTCTTGCCCCCGCACCCAGCCAGGCTGCTGACCCCCCCTGGCTCCGGGGAGGGGCGCAGGGCGCCCAGAGGGGTTCTGGAGCCCTCACTTATTCCCTCCTGTCCGCCCAATGTCAAGCTACGCCACAGACGATGATATCGTGTTCGAGGACTTTGCCCGGCTTCGGCTAAAGGGGATGAAGGATGAGGACTACGAGGACCAGTTCTGCTAGGAGGAGGGCTCAGGTGCTGCTGGGAGAGGGGGGTCCCCGCCTCTGCCCTCCCTCCACGCAGCAGCCTCCCCACCCCCCCAGCCGCCCCCAGACATGCACTGGACCCATCTCCGTGGAACATGGGCATTATTTTTTCAACTCCAGTTGTGCCTCCCCAACTAACCAACCCCCCAGTGGGTGGCAGGCTGTGTTCACACCTACGTTTGTGGAGGGGGCTGCGAAAGAGACAGGAGGGAAGGTGGGGAGAAGGAAGCCCCATGTGCACCATCACAGCAACAGCTTCCCTTCCCTTCCAGAGGACACCCTTCTGGGGGGGGGCAAGGCCACTTCTTTGTTTCTGAGCATAAAGAAGAAAATAAACCTTGGAATAGGCACGCGCATCCATGTCTCCTGTGCGGTGCTTGAGGAGCGGACAGTTGCTCATCTGCGGCTGTTCCCTTGGGGCTGAGTGCCCGGCAGGGGGAAGGACAGTGGGCCACCGGGCCCACAGGCTGGCCGTTGGTATCCCAACGCACGGGCTGTCTGTGTGGTCTAGGGGAACCCGGAAATGGAGTTCGCCCAGTCCACGCTCCAGGGTGTGGCCTGCTAAAGCCACGGCGTCCCCGTGTGCGTTTGCAGGGGAAACAGGAAGGCACAGCACTGTCCCTGGGAGCTGGGCAGGGCAGACACATGTGACCCGGTGGTGACCTGCCATGGCCGTGTGCCTGTGTCCACAGTGCCTTATGGATGCTCCGGCCACCCGATCCCGGGGCTTACTGGATGGAACCTGCGTGACATCCTGTGGGGCCTGGTGTCATCATTTCTGCCATGGAAGCCAAGGCTTGGGGCGCCTGGGGGTGCTCAGTCTGTGAAACAGCTGCCGTTGGCTCAGGTCATGAGCCAGGGTCCTGGGATCGAGCCCCACATCGGACTCCCCACTGGATGGGCAGCCTGCTTCTCCCTCTTCAGCACTTGTGCTCTCCTGCTCTCCCTCTCTCTTAAATAAATAAAATATTAAAAAAAAAAAAAAAAAAAGCAGCAGCAGCAGCCCAGGCTCTGGGCAGCCCCAGGGAGTCACACCACTGAGAGCAAGTCCCAGAAGCAACACCCTACCACCCTCCCCTGACATTCCTCAGGCACTCCCAAAACCCCAGGCTGGGCCAAGAGGGTGAGCAACACCCCACTGCCCTGCTCACCCCCCCAACCCACCCCCTCTCCCCCCTCCCAGCCTTTCTCTCCTGATTCTCCTAAGGCTCATTCAGCCACTCTGCCAACAGCCTCGCTGCCGAGTCCCTGTGATGTACCAGGCACAGCAGAGGGATATGTAGTGGTGACCAAAGCCACCATTCACCACCCTTCTCTAGTGACTTAATTACAGGATCCATGCTCCAGAGGGGACATGCAGGAGCAATGAGAATGCACGACCTACTGGAGTTTGGGGTTTGGGAAGGATCTCCCCAGAGGGAGGGAGCACCCTTTGCACAGAGAACTGGCAGACGGGCACAGGTTGGAACATTCTGGGCACTACCAGCATTGCAGTAATTCCCGTGAGCCTGCTCCTTGACCTCTGCACTCCCAGCCCCTGGAGCTCAGCACTGCTTTGGGTGAACCCTCAGGGAGACACCATAAAGACGCACAGCCCAAGCTCTACCTCCTTCCGATCCCCCGGGGTCAGGAAGATCCACCAGTCGGCACCTCGAATTAGCACACAACTTGAGAAACAATGTCTTTTTTTTTTTTTTAGCTTTTTATGCTTTTAATGTTTTTATGAAGGTCAAACATGCACAGGGCATGAAGAAAGAAATCCAAACTGCCTACAATAAACAGTGAAAAGAAGGCTCCCTCTTGCCTCCCATTCGTCATTCCCAGAGGCAACCACTATCAGCAATCCCTGGAGTAGTCTTCCAAAGATATTGTTTATTTTTAAAATTTTATTTATTTATTCATGAGAGACGCAGAGAGAGAGACGCAGAGACACAGACAGAGGGAGAAGCAGGCTCCCTGTGGGGAGCCCGATGAGGGACTCAATCCCAGGATCCCGGGGTCCTGAGCCGAAGGCAGATGCTCACCCGCTGAGCCACCCAGGGGTCCCTGGATGTCATTTATTTTTACCAGTCTCCTGCCGACACACACGAAGTGAAGGAGGTCCACTCTTCCATGAATGCAGGCACCAGTACAATAAGGATCCCCCAAGATAGGTCTTTTTTGCACACGTGAGCTGGGTATATAGGACAATCTCTTACAAGCAGACTTGCTGGGTCAGACAGTGAGACAGAATCTTTAGGATCCTGCCAATCAAGCAGGTGAAATATGGTATCATCTGAGTTTTAATTTGCATTTGATTATAAGTGAAAATAAAACCTGATTTATCAAAAAAAAAAAAAGGAGGGACACCTGGGTGGCTCAGTGGTTGAGCACTTTGGCTAAGATCGTGCCTTTGGCTCAGATCATGATCCTGGGGTCCTGGGGTCGAGTCCCACATCGGGCTCCTCCCAGGGAGCCTGCTTCTCCCTCTGTCTGAGTCTCTGCCTCTCTCTGTGTGTCTCTCATGAATAAATAAATTGTTTTTGTTTTTGTTTTTGTTTTTTTTAATAAATAAATCTTAAAAAAAAACAAACCTGATTTATCGGGGTACCTTTTTTTTAATGTACTCTCAAGGCTCTTTATACACTAAAGAAATGAGCTCTTTGTCATATATTTTGCAAATATTTTTCCTGGTTTGTCATTGTCTTTTGAATTTGTTTCTAGGTTTGTATTTTTGGGTTTTTTTTTTTTTTTGGTTTAATATGGAGGTAAAATTCACATAACATAAAATTAACCATTTTAAACTGTACAGTTTAGTAGTTTAATGGCATTTAATACATCCACAATTTTGCTAGGCCATCACCTCTAGTTGCAAAGCATTTTGCTCTTGATATTTTTTTAAAGACTATTTATTTATTTGAAAGAGAGAGCGAGCACACAAGCAGGGGGAGGGATAGAGGGAGAGGGAGAAGCAGATCCCCACTAAACAGGGAGCCTGACATAGGACTCGATCCCAGGACCCGGGGATCATCACCTGAGCTGAAGGCAGATGCTTAACCAACCCAGGTGCCCCGTTTCTGATATTTTTAATAATTCACTTTTTAAACTTTAAGGTACACAATCACAGTCACTTTTTTCAAAGTTTTTTTTTAAGATTTTATTTATTTGAGAGAGAGGACGCACAAGCAGGGGGAAGAGCAGAGGGAGAGGGAGAAACAGGCTCCCCACTGAGCAGGGAGTCCAATGCAGGACTTGATCCCAAGACCCCTGGATCATGACCTGAGGCAAAGGGAGACGCTTAATCGACCCAGGTACCTCTGCTCCTGATATTTTTCATAATTCACTTTTTAAGTTTTAAGGTAGACAATCACAATCACTCTTTTAACGGCTTCTTGGGATATTTTTTTTCTCCAAGCTCTTGGCCCTTCTGTTCCCTCGCAATCTGGCGCTTCTTTTTCCTTCCAGACTGAACTTGGAGCCCGCCCTACCCAATGCAACCCCATCCGCTAGCTCAACTGCTCCTCCTAACAAACACCTGCTGTCAACCCCCAGCCCAGGCTCCGTCCCACCGCCCCCAGCCCATGCAGCTCCAGCACAGGGCTAGCGAGTGCCGCCAGACTAAAATCACAGAATGCAACTGCACATAGCACACATTAGTTCACTCAACAAATACTTCTTGATACATCTGAGGTGCTAACCCTGTGCTGGGCACTTGGGGACGCGTTTGGGGCCACTGCCAACATACAGTCAGCTGGGCCCTTGATTCCCCAATGAGCCTCTGTCCCTCCCTACGCTCCTGGTCACCTCCCTCACTACATATTCCCAACCTTCCTCACACTCACGGTGACTTCTGAGCCTCACAGAGATCAGGCTGCCAGGGATGGTGATGTACAAACACCTGCATGGATCTGGGTTCTCTACAACCAAGGCCAAGCCGCCTTCTCCTGTTCAGAGCTCCCTCCTCCACCTCGGCTCAGACCTCTCCCCTCCTACCTCCTCTGAGACCTCAATTCATCAAACCACGCCCCCGACTTTGACCTCTACCTCCTTCTCTCTACTGGTTCTTCCTCCACAGCATGTGAAACCCACGCAAGTCTCTTCTGTCCAAGGAAGGAAGGAAACCAAACAGAAGACACTCCTCCACTCTCGGGCCTCTTCCTCATGAAGTAAATCTCTATCCATTTCTTCTCCACCGTTTCACCGTTTCAGAGTTGTCTACACACAGAGTTGAAGGAGCCAGGTACAGTCACAAGGCCTATAGCCTATCCCTCTCCAGCTCACTTCTCCGTAGAGGCAACCATTTTCACCTCCTTCAGATGCTTCTTCTGGTATTTACCTCCATGCCCCTGAACAACGATGTTCCAGATTTTTGTTCTAAGCATCCCCAGCGCCCCACCATTCAAGCTGAAGACTGAGTCCCTTCTGCCCCTCTCCGCCACAGTGGAACACACACCATCCTGCCCCAGCATCCCATGCTCCCAAGAAAGTTGTATCAATGGGGGTGAGGTCAATATTCAATATTTGCACTTTGCTGCCTACACATGACATATCCAGTTGTCACGCGGTATATGGATGACCTCTTGCACAAGGCCATCTTCCCTGAATAGCTGTCATTTTAGGAATCTGCTTATTCCCTGAGTTGCTCACAATTCTGCCCTGTACTCTTCTCTGAAAGTCTATATATCCTCTCTATACCCTCAAAACGAAACAGATGTTCATCACTTACGTCTCTGTGAAGCAATCTCTCCAGAAGCCTCCTAGAACCACCCCATTCTGAACTGGGTGCTCCTCCTGCCTGCCACACTGGCGCGGCCTTCACCCGGTGTTCTCTCATTCGCCCCTTGCAGTGTTGAAGGCCTTACTCAGATTCTGGATCCTACATCTTCCTCTTCTGGGTCTACTCCTAGTAACCTCCTGAGAAAGGGAACTTGAGAGAAAAATCTGAGACCTCTGTACATATCAAAATGTCTTTATCCCACCTCCATCTTAGCTGTTGTGAGAGTCCACGTCTCCCCTAAAATCTCTTCTTCCGCAAGACCAGGAGCTGGCCACCTAGGTAAAGACTGGGTTTCCTGGAACCCCAGAGTTGGGTGAGACCATATGACTGTTTCCTTCCATGGAATGAGAGTAGAAATTATCTGGGGGACACCTGGGTGGCTCAGTGGTTGAGCACCTGCCTTTGGCTCAGGGTGTGATCCTGCAGTCTCAGAATCGAGTCCCACATCAGGCTTCCTGCTTGGAGCCTGCTTCTCCCTCTGCCTACATCTCTGCCTCTCTCTTCTGTGTCTCTCATGAATAAATAAATAAAATCTTTAAAAAAAAAAAAAAAAATTATCTGGGCCACTTCCTGGTCACCTGAGCAGGTGAGCCTCCTCCACATTTCCTCTTCGTCCTTGCCACCGCCTGCCTCTGACCCAGGGATGGTAGCAACCCAGTTTTGACAGGACGGACAGCACTGCCCCAGAGCAGCAGTCTTCAGATTTCACTGTGCAGACAGATCACCTGAGGATCTTCAAACACAGATACTGATTCAGAAGATGTGCTTGGGGCCTGCGACTCTGTAGTTCTAGTGAGCTTCTAGGTAATGTCAATGCTGCTGGCCTGCAGACCACACTCTTGAGTACAAGACCCTAAAGGCTGGCAAAGCTGCACTTTTAGCCTTGATCTTCGTATGACCTGTGGAACATGCTGAACTACCCACGCTGCGCTGTTTTTTGGGGAAAAAAAAATTAAGTTCTATGTTATTGAATCGTTGCATTTTTAGCCTTCATCCTAGCACCACTGGAGTATAGAATTCCAGATTAGAACTTCGTAAATAAACTTTCATTTAATCCCTATTTTCTCGTTTTAGTTCTAAGCTTTTTTTTTTTTTTTTTTTTTAATTAATTTAAGTAATCTCTACACCCAACATGGGGCTTGAACTCACTACCCGGAGATCAAGAATCACATGCCCTTCTGACTGGGCCAGCCAGGTACCCCTAATCTCTGTTTTCAATACAACTGTGCCCAGTGGGGCAGGGGCAGGTGGGGAGGGCCTACCATGCCAAAGGCCCTGTTTTCCACCTTCAACAACAACAAAAAAAAAAAACCTCCAGTATTTGATGGGTTGGAGCTGAGTGGTTGTACAGAGATATATACAGCAAAGGAGAAAATCTGGGGAAGGGATATCTATTTCAAATAATCCTCCTCATTTTAGTATCACCTACATCCCAGTTGTACACGATGCCACTAATTTAAGAGTAAATCATGTTGCTTTGAAGCTTTCTCTACTGCTGGCTTAATGACCACTTCACTGCTAAATCAGTCACCACTTTCCCTCTGTCTTCCAGCTTCTACTTAATTTTGCTATTAATTCCTATCCCTGGAACACCTGGGTTGCTCAGTGGTTGACCATCTGCCTTTGGCTCAGGTTGTGATCCCAGGACTGGAGATGGAGTCCCACATCCGGCTCCTTGCAGGGGGCCTGCTTCTCCTCCCTCTGCCTGTGTGTCTCCGCCTCTCTTTCTGTGTCTCTCATAGATAAATAAATAAAATATTTTTTTAAAAATTCCCCTCTCTCTCTGACTCCTTAATAAAAATTCCCTTGCTGTTATTTTATTAGGATTTTAAAAAGGAGTGAAGTTCCATGCGAGGTCCCTCACACTGAACTCAAAGTCTCCATTCATCTGCTATCCCTGAGCCAACTAGCTTCATTCCCAATCTTCCAGAGGCTGTCCCCCTCCCCCGCCAAAGGTACACCTGGCCATAACACACTTCTTGTTATGAAGATCTTTCAAGGGTTCCCAAGGGCTTCGGGAGCAAAGTCCAAATGACTTAGCTGGGAAGCCCCTTGCTGATCTGGCTCCAACTCCATCAAGCCGCCGCCACATTGCACTGGCGGCTCCAGTCAAACTGGCTCCCTGGCTGCACCGGCGCTGCACCAGGCACCCCTTCCTCAGCACCATGCACCCGCTGGGGCCGACCCCCTCTTCCACTGCAGCCTCTCGTCCACTTTATGATCCCTAAGCTCGTCGCCAGCAACGCTTACCCCCTCCACCCCCGCTCCAATCCTCTCTCTGGGCTCCCGGAGGGCCACCTCGCTGTCACGTGACAGTCCATCCCATTCATCCCGCAGTCCCAGACCCCACCTGTACCAGGCAACCAGAAAGGGAAAGGGGAAGGCTGAAAGGAGCCAGCTCCTGTGAACAAGCTGCAAAGCCTGGGTGTCAGCGGGGCTCCCGCCCGCGGGGGGAATCGCTGGGGCGATGAACAAGGCGACACTCACCGGGTCAGGCCTCCCCAGGCCCCGACGGACGGCGGAGCGGGCCGGGCAAGCAGAGCATCCCAGAGCTCACACCATCATCCCCCAGCACCAGCAGCCGCGCGGGCGCTTCTCGTAGAAGAAACCAAATACAGACGCGCCCCCACCCGCCACCCCCGCTCCGGGAATGTCGCGAAGGCGGCCGGCTGAGGGACCTCGGGCGGGGAAGCCAGGCTTCACGACCGCCTCTTACCACAGTTGGTCGCGAGGTGGCGGTGGCGGTGGCGGTGGCAGTGGCGGCGCAAACCCGGGAGTGCGCACGACACCCTGGGAGTTTGTAGTCCCCCCGCCCCCCCGCCAGGCGAGACCGCGCCGAGCATCCTGGGAATTGTAGTCGCAGCCCGAGCACGCCCTGCGCAGGCGCACACCGACAGCCGTTTCCGGGCTCCCGCGTCGCGTCTCGCCGAGGAGAAAAGCCCGTGGAGGGCTCACCAAGCGATAATGGCTACCTACAGCCTGGCGAACGAGAGGCTCCGCGCCCTGGAGGACATCGAACGGGAAATTGGCGCCATTCTGCAGAACGCAGGTTCGGGACGCGACGGCTGGCGGCGGGGAGCGAGGCGGGGCAGGGCTGCACCTGTGCCTGCCGCCGCCCCTCTGCGGGGATGAGAGGGCCCCCCCCCCAGAGGGACTCCCCCAGGTGGCAGCACGGCCCGCTCCGGCTAGCGCCGGCCCTGTCTCCTCCCCCGCAGGGACCGTGATCCTGGAGCTGTCCAAGGAGAAGACCAACGAGCGGCTCCTGGACCGGCAGGCGGCGGCCTTCACGGCGTCTGTGCAGCACGTGGAGGCGGAGCTGTCGGCTCAGATCCGCTACCTCACCCAGGTGTGTACGTGGTGGGGTGCTGGCCCCCTCCCGCTCTCCGCCCCAGCCCTCGCCGCCGACACCGCGGGCACCCCAGACCCCACCCTCTATCCCATCCCCCCATCCCACCCCCCTCCCAGCCAGCCAGCCAGCCAGCCCCGGGACTGGGTGACCCTTCCAGACCCAGCTTCTCCTTCCTGAAGGAAATACTTAAAGGTGGCCCTGCCCAATTCACTGGTAAGCGCTACGTGAGCCGCTGGACAGGGAAGCCCTGGGAAAGAACCTGTGAACCATGCCAAAGCCACAAGAGTTTGCACTCAACACACTTGACCTGACCTTGGGGCCCTGAAGTGGCAACGCCCTAAGAAAAGGGACAAGGTTCAGAGGGTTCTGGAGTCTTTTTTTTATAACATTAAGTTTTTACAATGTGTCAGAAATTGCAACAAGTCTAGGAAGTAGTTACTGTTGCCCACACTTGATAGATGAGGTTAACAAGTGAAGTGATTTACTCTAGGTCAGCCAGCCACCTCTCCAGCCTTAAAGGCTTCACACCCAGGGAAGAAACGAGACGGGAAAACCGCTACTTGGCTGGGGAGATGGGGAAGGGAAGGGGTGCCTCACTGATCCATTTGAATATCCTGTAGGTGGCCACAGGGCAGCCCCACGAGGGCTCCAGCTACTCTTCCAGAAAGGACTGTCAGATGGCCCTGAAGCGAGTGGACTATGCTCGCCTCAAGCTCAGTGATGTGGCCCGAACCTGTGAGCAGATGCTGGAAAACTAGGCCAACCTAGCAAGAACTTGGAGACTACCACCGGCACTCTGGAAAAACCTGGAGACCTGTACAGTGGGCATTAGGGGCTGCCACACACGTGTCCTACTGGACTGAGTATGCAAGGGCTGAGTGGCAGAAAGTGGGAACGGAGAATCTTGTGAGACCAGGCCTGCCCACAGTGATGCCCTGGCTCCTCCAGCAGGGTGCTCTGCCCGCCACAAAACTGCTGACAACTTCAGGCAGAGGGGAGATTCAGACACCACACTTACTTCCTCAAACCCTTCATGTCCCTACCCCAGACTTTTTCAGACTGGACCAATGGAGGCACGTTCTTCTTCATTGAAAGAGACAAAACAAGAACTAGGGGCTTTAATAATAAAAACAACAGCAATGAAAGCAAGGAGCTCAGACTCTCACTGGAACATATGTGGGTGATATGGACAGGGATTGAGGAAATAAAACCCAAGTGCATGGCACCTGCTGAGGAGGAACGGTGGGAAGGCCCCCGCACTGGGGGTGGAAGGAGGAAGCAGGAGAGGCCTGAGGCTGGGGAGGAACAGCTGGTGTGTGATGAGAGACTGGGACTAGGGAGCAGTGGGATCCTCAGCAGAGAAGCTGAAGCCAGGAACCATGGTAAGGGGCAAGGGCATGAGGGCAATGTCTGCAGAAAAAAGAGCCAATAATTATAAAAATAATCTTTAGTAATAAAACACACGTAAAGAATTCCTCTAAGGTATTACATTAAAAGGTAGACTTTACAGGATAGCATAGAAAATAAAAAACCAGGAAAGCTCCACAAGAGGGCAGTGGCTGGTTATTTGTATGTTAAACATCAGATAGCTACAGAGTGCCTATTAAGTGCCAGAGATTATTCTAAATTATACAGGACTGAATAAATCACAATGTGTACCCTGACAGGCTTCCGCTCTTAGCTCACACATTGGAGTCTGATGCCACGGGTGTATAATGAAGGTGCAGATCTGAAAAAAGATATGGAAATTAATATACCAGCTCTGAGATTAAGGAAAGCTGGGGGAATAGCTTGAACTGAGGAATTAGACCCCAAAACATTAACCATAGGACTTAGGACATTAGGTGCTCAATACAGATTTGTGAAATAAATGAATGGCCCCCACCATCCTCCTTTGGTTCATCTCCCACTAGCCTACCCCAGCTGCCATCCTAATGTTGCTCCAAGCCCTGCCCAGCTTTGAAGGTCAAGGACAGGTCCCTGGGCCTGAGATGGCTTCCCTCCCTCCTTCCCTATTCTGTAAATGTCTCTAACTGACTCTTATTGTCTATGGCCCACGGTGCAGACCACCTTCATATTTGTCTGTCTGGGGTAGGTTTCCAGACACTCGGGAGCTACTGGGGGCAGGATTCCTGCCAAGGAGGCTATGGTCCCTGAGGGAGAGGGGCCCAGAGGCCCAGCTCACCTGGAGTGTGCTGCAGTGACTGCTCCCTCCTCTTGCAAAGAACATATAGGAGGACTCCAGTGAGAATGAAAATGATGCCCAGGAGGGACAGCACAGGCACCATGGCTGATGTCCCAGCTGTAGGCTCCACTCTTTTAATCTGCTGCTTCTGGCTCTCCCCAGCCTCAGACCCAGTCCCAAGACTGTGGCCCACAGTAGATGTAGCGATTTCACTGGTATGGGTGCGCTTTTTGTCCAAAGATAGTGTCCCTGCTGGAAGCGCGGGCTGCCTGGTGGACTGCAAGGCAGTTGGCAGGTATGTAGACCGCCAGGTGGGTGGCAGATATGTCTGAGCAGGGGAGCCCATGTCTAAAGGAGCCCTTTCTGTGGGCTCAGGAACCTGGGTGCTGAGGGGAGGTAACTGCTCCTGGGGGGCCACACTTCTGGAATCAGCAGAGCCACATTCTGGAGAGACAAGAAGTAAGGAATCAGAGCTAAGAGCTGAGGATACAGGGGATCCCTGGGTGGCTCAGTGGTTTAGCACCTGCCTTGGGCCCAGCCCAGGGCGTGATGCTGGAGTCCAGGGATCAAGTCCCACATCGGGCTCCCTTCATGGAGCTTGCTTCTCCCTCTGCCTGTGTCTCTGCCTCTCTCTCTCTGTCTCTCATGAATAAATAAAATCTTCAAAAAAAAAAGAGCTGAGGATACAAAGTGAAAAAGTAGTTGAAGGGTAGTGGATCTAGGTCACAGCTTAAGGCCCTGAAAAGGAAGGCAGACACAGGGGTGGGAGGTGGAAAAGGAAGTAAGCTGAATTCGACAGGGAAGTGCTGGGATAGGCTTGTGTCCAGAGCTGGCTCTGCTTCCAAGCAGCCTCATGCACAACCTTGTCCCTTGTCTCTTGACCCCACTCCCTGAGACACTTTGCTTTCAGCTATAAAGCAGGATTTTAGTACCAAGGGCCACAGTAGCTAGAAGGATGGAGTGCAATCCTGTAGGCAGGCCTTTCTGTAGCCCTTGGAACAGTATGCACACCAGGGATGCTCCGACAAGACAACTTCAGCTGCAACGCGTTAGAACATTTTGTGTTTTAACGGTTGTGTATTTATTTTAGGAGAAAAATACAGCCGGTGCCTCAAATCTGTGGCTTCATAGATGTTATTGCTTAGGACAAGCTGCTAGTTACGTTTTTCCAAAACTGGCTTGTGTACACATAAGAACTTAACTCGTTTCACTGCACGTAAATTTTACCTCAAAAGAGAAAAATCAACAATAAAGTGCTGATTTCTACTTAACAATACACAGCCTGAGATGTGTGAGGATGAAGTATGGTCGAGCCTGCAACTAATTTGGAAATACATCAGAAAATAAGGTGGGGGTGCCCTGATCTGAGGGTTCTGGGATCCAGCCCCACATCGGGCTCCCTGCTCAGCAGTGAGTCTACTACTTCTCCCCCTCCCTCTGCTCTTCCCCCTTCTCATGCACTCTTCTCTCTCTCTCAAATAAATAAAATCTTTTTTTAAAAAAAGAAGGTGGATTGATGATGGATAGAAACATAGATGGGCGTGAACTAAAACAAATATAGTCAGCATGCTGTAAACTTGATATTGTAAAACACACGCATTTGCTGTGTTCTCTGCCTACCACACACATTACATAAAATATAAACATTAAAAAGCCAAAAAGCGTGGAATCTAGGTGGTGGGCCTACAGATGTTCACTGCACTGGTCTTTCAACTTTTGTGTATGTCTTTAGATCACCACAGCCAAACACCAGAAAACAAAAGCAGTGCCTTGGTTTCACGAAAAATATTAAGGAAATAAGAGCACAGGTAACAGGATGAATTGGCCAAAATCATGACAGTGATGGTGAATGACACGGGGCCAACAGGGACCTAAGGGGCTTTGGCTGGCACCAGCTACAAGAGGAATTCCAGGTGTCATTGGGAGGGGGCCCCTGCCCTGGAGACAGACCTCAGGCAGGAGCGGGAAAGCCAGTACCTTTGCGATCCAAGCAGCTCATCAACTGTTGAACCCACGGATCCTTGCTGCCGCCACACACGCTCCGCATTCGTAGCTGAAACCTAAGAAGGAAGACTTGGGATTTTAACTCTTTCCTCATTCCAAAGACCTGAAGTCACTGCCAAAAGCAAGCAGGGCCCTTTCTGCCCAGACTGGGGAATTCCCAGGTGGTTCGGACAGGGAAACAAGGACATGGAGAATTAAGGGGAAGGTAACCCTGAGAGGGGGCCAGGTGCCCCCAGGAGCTCCGGGTGAACCAGTGAGGTCCTGGAGGCCCCAGCAGCGCCGCCCTCCCGGTGCTCCGTGAGCTCACCTGACGTAGGAATTACAGCGCTGATAGACTCGCAGATGTTTTCGAAGATGGGCCATGAGCTCCGCCGTCGGAGGGGAGCCGGAAGAAATCGCTTTGTCGCAGTAACAACTGCCAGTGACGCTGCCCTCGTTGCCATCGCCTGGCAAGGGTACCGGCGGTCAGCGCCAGATCCCAGCTCGAGGGGCTCCCCAGGGTCACCGCGCCTCCTCCTCGGATCCCAGATCTGACCCCCAGACCCGCAGGGCGCTCCCTCACACACGCCCGGACCCGGGTGCCCCCAGCCTGTCCCCCACCCCGGGGGGACCCCGGCTCCGCCCCCTGCTCCACAGTACCCCGCGGCCCTCGGCGCCCCGGTCCCCCATTCCACTCCCCGACTGGGGCCCTGGACGAACCTGGCCGAGGCAGCAGCGCCAGCGCCGCAAGCAGCACGAGGGGCCCGGCCCCCATGTCGGGGGCCAGGCCGGACCGCAGCGCCGCGTCCAGCTGCTCCCTCCCGGGCCCGCCGGGACGCCGGGCAGCCGCGGCCGTCGGGGTGCGAGGGTGGGGGGTGCGGCGCGAGCTGGCGGCGCCCTCCTCCCGAGCTCCCACCGTCCGAACCGACAGCGCGGTCGGTACTGCGGGCCTCGCGGCAGCTGCCCCCCACCGCCACCGCCGCGGGGAAAGTCCCGGAGGCGGGGCCCCGCGCCCCCGTCCCCCGCGCCCCCGCGCCGCGCGCCCCCGCGCCGAGGGAGCGGCCGGGAAGGAGCGCGCAAAGGCAACACGAGCTGGGCCCCGCTGGGGGATGCCCGCCCAGCCGCCCCAGGTCAGGCGGCGCGCCCGCCGCCACCGCTCCTCCCGTCCTCCGCCGCCACCACCTCCCAGGGCGCTTTCGCTTCCCCGCCGGGCACCGGCACTGGGTCACATGCCCGGTGAGGACCGCGGGAAAATCCGTGAGCTCCCGACGGGGGCGGGGTCTCGGGGGGGGGGGGCGCGGGCTCCCGCGGCCCTGACGTCACGCCCACCCACCCCCATCCCCCCCGGAGCCCCGAGGTATTTACCTTCGAAAAGTGGTGGCGGCTGCAGGTACCGGAGAGGCGGAGCGGCCGGGAGGGACTGGGTCCACGGGGACTCCCTGCCGAACCGGTCCAAGGCGAGGGGATGCCCCCGCTCCGGTTCCCTCCTCGCACATCCCGCAGACGGATCCAAAGTAATCCCCGCTCGCCAAACCCTTCCCCGTGGGATTAGCCCTCCAAATCTATCCACAATTCAGACCTTACTCTTGAGGGTTTGAGCCTCGGATTCTGAGCCCCAAATACCATCTCACTCCTGACTACTCATCTGAAACCCTGCTCGCCCACTTCCATGCCTGGCCCCAGTTCTCACCCTGAACTCCCACCCTGAGCCCCGAAAAGTAGTCTCAGCTCCTCACACTCATCCAGAGGCCCCACGTTAGTGAACCTCAAACCCACACCCTCCCCATTTGGTGACCCAGCCCTGAACCCCCCCATTACCCTCTGCCTTACCATACACCCCTTCCTCTGCTTAGTCTGGGCCCAGACCCCGTGCCCCTGAAGACATGGAGTTTGTGTCTGGATACAGAGATGAGTTCCTTGATTTCGCTGCCCTCCTGTTTGGCTGGTTCCGAAAGTTCGCTGCAGAGCGCGGGGCTGTGGGGGCCAGCCTTGAGAGCCGCTGGCGCCAGCTGGAGGCTCAGATCAGAAGACTGCCCCAGGACCCTGCCCTTTGGGTGCTCCATGTATTGCCCAACCGTAGTGTGGGCATCAGCCTGGGGCAAGGGGCAGAGCCAGGCCCTGCACCAGGCCTGGGGGCTGCCTGCTTCCTGGGAGACGAGCCCCCACTGCACCTGCGAGACCTAAGCCCCTATGTCAGCTTTGTCAGCCTGGAGGAAGGGGAGGAAGCAGAGGAGGAGGAGGAAGAGGAAGAGAATAGAGAGGAGGAGGGTACAGGTGTGGAGAAGGTAGATCCGGAGGAGGATGGGGAGCCAGGCCCCACCAGCAGGGAGTCCCCCCAGGAAGCAAACCCTCCAGGGGAAACCGAGGAGGCTGAGCAGGAGGCAGGAGGCAGAGGCGGCGAGGAAGGCTGCCGAGAGGACAAGGCTGAGGAAGAAGTGGGCCCTGACAGGAGGAAGGGGCGGAGAAGCGGTAAGATCCTGGGGCTGCCCTGTCTGACCCCTGCCTAGACATTCTCCCCTTTGGAAGACCTCCTCTACCATGCAGCCTGGCCAGGAGTCACCAGTGGGTGGCCTGCTGGCCAAGCTGGCCCAAAAAGATGTTTTCATTGACTCACAGTGGTTTTTGCTTTTCAAACTTTGAGCCAACATTTATACAATGAAAGAAAAAAAAAAAGATTCCAGAAGTCAAAGGAAAACTTTCAAGTTCCAGCAGCAGGCCAACACTTCTGTGTGGCCGCAGGTGGCAGCACGGTGTAGCAAGTGTCCTCTTTCCATGAGGCATCCCCTCTCTACCCGGTCCCCTCTGTTCATTTAGTTGACCCGCCTAACTCCTGTAGGCATGATTTTCATACCTTTGACTCTGCCCATCTTTGCCACTCCCCACCTCTGACTTTCCTTCCCCAGAGGCTGCCCCCCTGCACCTTTCCTGCCTCTTATTGGTGACGGATGAACATGGCACCATCTTGGGCATTGACCTGCTAATGGATGGAACCCAGAGGAGTGCAAGCAAGGGCTCAGGGACAGAGAACCTGGCCCCTCGCGCCTATGCCCTCCTCTGCCACAGCATGGCCTGCCCCATGGGCTCCGGAGACCCTCGAAAACCCCGACAGCTTACTGTGGGAGACGCCCAACTGCATCGGTACAGAAATCTGGTATCTGAGGTTGGGGACACCTAGGGGTCTGGACTCCAGAGCCCACCAGACTGACACTGCCTCCACCCCCATTCAGAGAGTTGGAGAGTCTGGTCCCAAGGCTGGGAGTGAAGTTAGCCAAGACACCTATGCGGACGTGGGGTCCCCGGCCGGGCTTCACATTTGCTTCCCTCCAGGCTCAAACCTGCCATGTTTGTCACAGGCACAGCTTTGAAGTGAAGCTGACACCTTGGTGAGCTGCCTGAAAGGTGGTGGGGGGAGAAGGAAGGAGACCCCAACAGTCAGGGCAAGCTGAGAAAGCTGCCCAGTGAAGGTGGGTGGGGTGGGGTGGGGCTACCAGACAGGTGTTAGAGACCTGGGGGTCAGAGGAGGAAGAAAGCAAGCTGTTAGGAGCAGAGTATAGAGAAAAACAGACCGAACGATACATGGGCAGTGGCGGGGCAGAAAAACAGCAGATGGAAGACCTACAGAGATTAATCCTGGGTGCCCACCACCCCTGTGATCCCAGCCCCCAGTGTAGTGCCGTCTTGTACTGTGGAGAGGCCTGTCTCCGGGCCGACTGGCGGCGATGCCCAGATGATGTGAGCCATCAATTTTGGTGTCCAAGGCTTGCAGCCTTCATGGAGCGGGCTGGAGAACTGGCAACCCTGCCTTTTACCTACACTGCAGGTACCACAGGAGATGGGAATGGGGGAGAAAGTGAAACCAGGTGTTGGGGGCTGCAGGCCAGGTTCTGGGCCTGCAGGAGACATGTCTGGGGCTGGATCCCAGGTGTAATGCCTGGATGCTGGGGATTTAGGGCTGGGGGCCCAAGTCCTGGGGCTGCACACCGGATCTGGAGCTGAGGAGTGCATGTCTGCGCCCCTGAAAGAGCCCAGGGGGTGCGGGAGCAGGGGTGCAGGCACTTGCTGCCCAGCTGCACCAGGAACTGGTGACCAGACAAAACATGAATTGTTACAAAGATTCTGTGGACTCAGTGCCCGCTACACTGTAGACACTCAGAAATATTCATTCTCTCCAGGCCTAGAATCAGGTTCAGACCCAGGGGCCATGAGAGAAACTGAGATGATCTATATCTGGGGTCCTAGCCCCCAGACCCTCCTCAAACCCTCCCTTCCTCCTTCCCCAGAGGTGACCAGTGAAAGCTTCAACAAGGAGGCCTTTCTGGCCTCACGGGGCCTCACTCGTGGCTACTGGACCCAGCTCAGCATGCTGATTCCAGGCCCTGGCACCCCCAGGCACCCCCGGGCCAGCACACCAGCCCTCAGCCTTCTTCTCAGTGGTTTGTGGGGCCTCTCTTCAGGCATGGGCCCCTCAGCCTAGAGAGAAGGATGGGGGAGAAAACAGTTGTCTGGGTCCTAGGTCACACCTCCACCCTATACACCCAACTCTACCACCACCACCACCAGAGCCATTTCAGGCCTTGCCCCAGTTCTCAAAGAAGTCACCCCTGCCCACCCCGTCCAAAAGCCCCATCCACAGGGAACCTCCCATTCCTCTTGCTGTAGCTCCAGGGAATACAGCTCCTTTGGGAGGAAGAGGAGGTTGGGTCGGGTAGGGGCCTCCCTGACACCATGATCCTCTTCTTTCATCTTTTCAGGAGATCCCTATCAGCTTCTCCAGGGGGATGGGCCTGCCCTCATGCCTCCTGTGCCCCCAGATCCACCCAGGGGCCTCTTTGGTGAGCTGGAGGGGCCCTTCAGGAGCTAGCAGACAGGGCTGGAGGGCCAGCAGTCTGAATGGCTGTGAAGAAGGGATGCTATTAGACAGGACAGGGCTGAGATCCAGGCCGGCTCAGTCCCCCAGTAACCCACTCTCCCCAGGCTCGTGGCAGGATTACTACACGTGGAGAGGCCTCAGCTTGGACTCCCCCATGGCTGTGCTTCTCACCTACCCATTGACCGTGTACTACGTCATCACTCACCTGGTGCCCCAGTCCTGTAAGGAGAGAAGAGCAGGGGGAGATGTGCTGGGGACATAGTGGCGGGAGGTGGGCGGGGGGCTACAGGGGGATAAGAGGAAGGAGGGGAGGCCCTCTTCTTAAGTGGCCAGCTTCTCACCCAGTCCCTGAGCTCAACATCCAGAACAAGCAGTCACTAAAAATCCACGTGGTGGAGGCCGGGAAGGAGTTTGATCTAGTCATGGTGTTTTGGGTAAGTCCCTCCAGGACAGAAGCGGCACTTGGGTGTGGAGATGGACGTGTCCGGGGGGGGGGGGGGGGGGGGGACCTGAGCTGTCCTCTCTGTCCTTCAGGAGCTCCTGGTCTTGCTCCCGCACATGGCCCTGGAGCTGCAGTTTGTGGGTGACGGCCTGCCCCTTGACAGTGACCAGCAGCATTTTACCCTGCAAAGGGTGAGGGCTGGGGGCTGCTCTCCTACCTCCTGCTCTCCCCTGTCTTGCCTTCCGCATGGCCCAGTCCCCTAACTTCCAGCCATCTCTCCGCTCTGCTCCTGGCTTCCCAGGATGGCCCAGAGGTTTCTGTCCGTCCTGGTTCCGGAGTGTCTGCACGGCTCAGCTCCGGGACTAAGGAGAAGGGGGGCCGCAGGGACCTGCAGATCAAGGTGTCCGCAAGGCCCTACCACCTGCTCCAGGGGCCCAAGCCTGACCTGGTCATCGGTAAGAGTTGGGGGGTAGGAGTGTGGGGACTGGGACAAGGCCACCGGCGACCTTCTGTCCACTCCCCCTCTGTCTGCAGGATTTAACTCCGGCTTCGGTCTCAAGGACACTTGGCTGAGCTCGCTGCCCCGGCTGCAGGTGGGGGATGGCCCAAAAGGGACCCGTTCTCCCCTCCTGCCCCGAACCACCTGCTTTGCCCCCTGCATCCCATCCTCTGCTCCAGACCCGGGCCGTGCCCCGGGGGCCCCCCAGACCCGGTGTGTCAGTCTGCGCCCCTGGCCCCTGGGGAGGGGCTGGGCGGAGAGTCAGAGGCCCCGCCCGCTGCAGTCCCTCCGAGTGCCGGCCTTCTTCACCGAGAGCAGCGAGTACGGCTGTGTGATGGACGACCAGACCATGGCGGTGGCCACGGGCGGGGGCACCAGCCCCCCGCGGCCCAACCCCTTCCGCTCCCCCTTTCGCCTCCGAGCGGCCGACAACTGCATGCCCTGGTAAGGCCCGGGGCCCGCGCGGGGTCCTCCGCCCTCCGGGTAGCCCCCTCACTCCGGCGACCCCTTGCCCCCCTCCGCGGGCCTCGAACGCGCGCACACACAGCCGACGGGATCCACTCCCGGGACCCGGGCTGGCCGGCCCCCGCCGAGCCCCCCCCAATCAGGCCCCGCCCCCCAGGCCCCGCCCCTGACGACGCCCCGCCTCCTCAGGTACTGCAACGCCTTCATCTTCCACCTGGTGTACAAGCCCCCGCAGGGCAGCGGAGCCCGCCCGGCGCCCGGCCCCGCGCCCCCGGCCCCGACCCCCGCCGTGCCCCCCGCCCCCGCCCGCCGGCGCCGCGGGGAAAAGAAACCCGGGCGGGGGTCCCGCCGGCGCAGATGAGGGCCCAGGGTGGCCGCCCAGCCCTCCCCAGCACGCCCTCGGAGGGAGAACTGAAACGCGAAGGGCCAGGGGGAGGCGGGTTGGCGGAACTCGCAGAGGTAAATAAAAGTACTTGTTTGAAACCACTGAGTCACGAGCCCTCTGGTTATACGCCCGTACCCGGGTCATTAAACGTGGAGCGGAGAGGAGGATTTGGGGCTGACTCATTTTCCTCCAGCTCCTGTCAGCCCCTCCCCGGCTGTCCCCTGTCTTCCGTGCGGCTCCGACCCTCTCTGATGACCCTAAACTCCTGGTGCATGTGTGTAAGTCATCGTAGGCCTCAGTAGGGCAGCCTGGGTGGCTCAGGTCATGAAACCCGGGGTCCTGGGATGGAGCCCCGCCTCCGGTTCCTGGCTCAGCCTGCTTGTGAGCGCTCACTCTCACTCTCTCTCTCTCTCTCTCTGTCAAATAAGTAAATAAAAACTTTAAAAATAAGAACTGGAGGCCCCAGTAACCCTCATGGACCCACGCCAAGGCAAAGCAAGACCCGAGGCAGAGAGGCTTCTCCTTCCGGGGCAGAGGATGCACACAAGCTCCTAGGGATGCACAAACCATGGTTTAGGGGGCCCAAGCCACCCAACCGTGGGCCATCCTTGTCTCCACCTTCCACCTCTCGTTTCTCATACTTCTGCTGAGTCATGCTGCTCAAGTCACTTGGATCCGCCAGTTCATTTCCACTCTCACTGCCCACTCTCCATTTCAGGCAGAGAATTCCTTCTACCACATTGCCGTCCTGCCTAAATCCCTCGGGTTATTTTGTTCCACTCTTAAAATCCCGAGTATGGGCTGGGCATAAGTGACTCAGTTAGCTAAGTCTAGAAACGGAAAAGCAGTGGAGAAACTTGGCAGACACCACCTTACCCAAAGGATCAAGGTTAATGAGATTAAGTCAGGTTGACATCATGCACTCTCTGATGCGTGGTGATGAGAAAGCCGCGTCACCCTTGTATTCTTCCCCCAAATCCATAACCTCGGTGTGATCGTGAGGACACATCCGATAAGTCCCTACTGTGGGACAGTCTACGGTGCTTCTTCCGGTGCTTCTTCCGAAGTGTCAAAGTCACAGAAGGCAAAAAAAGACCAAGAAATTGTGACAGACTAGAAGGGCTCCGGAGACAGGACACCTGTGAGGTGGTGGACTCCTGGATTGGATCCTGGGGCAGGAAAAGGACATTCGTAGAAAAACTTGGAGGAATCCAAATAAAATCTACAGAGTTGGGATCCCTGGGTGGCGCAGCGGTTTGGCGCCTGCCTTTGGCCCAGGGCGAGATCCTGGAGACCCGGGATCGAATCCCACGTCGGGCTCCCGGTGCATGGAGCCCGCTTCTCCCTCTGCCTGTGTCTCTGCCTCTCTCTCTCTGTGTGTGTGACTATCATAAATAAATAAAAATTAAAAAAAAATCTACAGAGTTTAGCTGACGTTATTGTGTCGATGTTAATGTCTTCGTTTTGATAAAGATGCAGCGTTAGAAGAAGTTGGGGGAAGGGTATATGGGCATACTGTGTAACTTGACTACGAATCTAAAACTATTTCCGGGGATCCCTGGGTGGCGCAGCGGTTTGGCGCCTGCCTTTGGCCCAGGGTGCGATCCTGGAGACCCGGTATCGAGTCCCACGTCAAGCTCCTGGTGCATGGAGCCTGCTTCTGCCTCTGCCTATGTCTCTGCCTCTCTCTCTCTCTCTGTGTGACTATCATAAAAAATAATAATAATAATAATAAAATAAAACTATTTCAGGGCACCTGGGTGGCTCCCTGGTTGAGTAACTGCCTTTGGCTCAGGGTGTGATCCCAGGGTCCTGGCATCAAGTCCCACGTCAAGGGGAGTCTGTTTCTCCCTCTCGCTCTGCCCATCTTCTTGTTCATGCTCTTTCTCTTTCTCTCTCTCTCTTTCTCAAATAGAAGAATCTCCTTAGTGAAAAGGATAATGGGAGAATGTCTTGGGTTATTAATCATAAGCCCTTCCAACCTTATCTGAGTTGATGCCAGTGAGGTCACCCTAGGTGGATCCCTATTTAACTTGATGATAGGGGCTGTTGGCTAGTAATGGTATGAGTAGAGTGCTGGAACCCTCACCCCACCCAGCAGCCCCTGGAGAGGGGCCAGGGGAGCTGGTGACCAAGTTAATCACCAGGATTTAATCAATCACTCCTACATAACAGAACCTCCACAAAAACCCCTAACCAATGGGGTTCAGAGCATGCCTGTGCTGGGGAGCCTACTGAGGTAGTGCTTGGGGGGTACGGCCAGATGGCATGGGGGCTCCCCCTGCCTACCCCTCACGCCTTTGCCACGTGCATCTCTTCCATCTGCCTGTCCCTGAGTTGCACCGCTTGTAATCAATCAGTAATAGGAAACTGTTTTCCCGAGTCCCATGAGCTGTTCTGGCAAATTATTGAACCTGAGGAGGGGATTGTGGGAAGCCTCAATTTATAGTCAGTTGGTCAGAAGTACGGGAGGCCCCAGGGCTCATGACTGGCTTCTGAAGTGGGGGTGGCCCTGGGGAGATTAAGCTCCCTCCAGGGACTTGGTGCCAGACTTGTAGAGAGTAGGACACAGAGTGAAAAGCTCCACTGGCAAAGCAATTTCCCAGCCCATCCCCCCATCCTCCCACCACTCCACCCAAGTATCTGGCCAGTTGGAGCACCTGTTGGTGTGCGGAAATACACACACACACACACACACACACACACACACCTTTGGTGTCAGAAGTGCTCAGAGTAATAACAGCTAAAGTATGGGTCAGAAGTGTCTATGCTGACTCACACAAAGATGTGGTTTGGGAAGAGACAGGAGGAAGGGTAGAGAATGAGGGACCTTTCCTTTCTGGGCGGCCCATGTCACTCCTGGTGTGAACAGCAGCGGTACCTCGCATTTAACCCACTTAGAAAAGCTAAAGTCACCCATGGAATTCAGAACCGGACCCAACTCCCAGGGAGCTGGTCCCCTGACTGTGCAAGGAAATGCAAACTAATAAGAAAAAAGGGAAAAACATCCCATCCGTTGGTTATGGTCCCTCATAGCTAAAATGAAATTTAAAACTTTTTTTTTTTTAGAGATTTTATTTATTTATTCATGAGAGATATAGAGAGAGGCAGAGGGAGAAGCAGGCTCCATGCAGGGAGCCCCACGTGGGAGTGGATCCCAGGTCTCCAGGATCACACCCCGGGCTGCAGGCGGCGCTAAACCGCTGCACCACCGGGGCTGCCTGAAACTTAAAATTTAAAAGAAATTCTGGGGACGCCTAGAGGCTTAGCGGTTGAGCGTCTGCCTTGGGCTCAGGGTGTGATCTTGGGGTTCCAGAATCAAGTCCCACATCGGTCTCCCCACAGGGAGCCTGCTTCTCCCTCTGCCTGTGTCTCTGCCTCTCTGTCTGTGTCTCTCATGAATAAATAAATAAAATCTTAAAGAAAAAGAAAAAAAGACGGTAAGAGCGACTAATTTAAGGGCAACATCCTTGGCATTAAATGCTGCAGGGTCGGAGAGCATGTCTGGGTTGAGGAAGGACCCACAGCTCCCTCTTAAACAACAACAATCCAGCCATACAGGATGTTATTCCTAGGGAATAACACTGAAGCCATCCAGAGGCCACCAAGAGTCACCTCATTAGCACACACTCAGTTGAAAAAGCCTGATGTGAATAACCTAAGACCCTCTTCTCTCCCTATCACACGGGAAATTCCAAAATGTTGAGAAGCACCGCCCAGAACGGGGACAAAGAGCAAATACATATTATTGTGTCACAAGATCACACCCACAGCTTTTTTCTGGAGGGTTCAAGAGCACATAGCGGGGGATCCCTGGGTGGCGCAGCGGTTTGGCGCCTGCCTTTGGCCCAGGGCGCGATCCTGGAGACCCGGGATCGAATCCCACGTCAGGCTCCAGGTGCATGGAGCCTGCTTCTCCCTCTGCCTATGTCTCTGCTTCTCTTTCTCTCTCTGTGTGACTATCATAAATAAAAAAAAAAAAGAAAGAAAGAAAGAAAGAAAGAAAGAAAGAGTACATAGCGGAACGTTGGGCATCTCCCTCCTGTGCGTCTATGACTATTAAGGGCTCGTAAAAAAGGTAACCACCATGCCAATATCATGTCCAACAAAATTAGGAAGTAAATAAATAAAATACCCAGTTCACAGTCCAATTTCTTTGATAATCTCAATGACGGCTTTTACAGCTGATTTATTTCAAGGAATAAACAAGGTCCTCACTTGGCTTTGGCCGCTGTGTCCCTTCAGGGTTTTTTTGTTTTTTATTCTGTGATAGAATTTCCTCCCTTTTCTTTCTTTTTTTGTTGTCACGCCCCTGATTGGATGACAAATGGCATCTTCCTCTTGTAGCATCTTCCTCATTCTGGATCTGGCCAAGGCTTCCTGGGGATGTTTTTTCCCCCGAATGTCCTCGTTTATCTTCCTTGGTTCCTGTAAGCCGGCGGTTACATGTCGCTGGGCAGGCCCTTCTGCGGTGGCCTGTGCCCGCCTCGGCCGCGGGGGGGCTGGTCTCATGCTACTTTCCACCTCCTTTCTACCCTCCAGCCAGATGCCTCCAAACAGACGCTGTTCTCTCTCATCATGAAACTTCCCCATTTTCTTGCTCAACCACCAATGACGCCTCTTCAGCCTACACATCACTTCCTTAGGAAAGGAGAAGCTCCCTGACTCCCTGATAAGGAGGGACTGGCCCCCACCCCCACCGGAGGAGCCTCCTAAGACCCCAAGGCCATAAAAGGGAAGCCCAGGTTCCCCGCGAATTAAGGGGAAATAGCACTTTTTACCACTCCCTTGGCCAGAAAATAACCTTTCCCTGAATTCCTGGCATCTGCCTCATTCAAAGTAGGAAAGGATATGGTTATCTGTGAACCGCAGGCACACTTGAGGATTCGCGTGCTCACTTGGTCTAGTGGGGTTGCTCGTTTGGCTGCTATGAGGATGCAGCACTTGTGTAAGAAGAATGTTTAATTTACAAACTGCTGTCTCTAATAATTCACTTACGAACTATTGCTTGGATGCCAGTAAGGCTCTGGGTAGTACTTTCAAGATGTGATGGGGGAAAACAGACT